TGTATAAAAATGACACACATATTCTTGCCCTGCCCACTTCCCAAAATCCAGTTGTTGCATGGTGTTACCTATTTGCTGGGAGTAGTATGCACTCAACTGCCTCATGGCTAACAGCTGCAGATATTTATAGTGTTTGTGACTCCGTGTGTAAAACATCATCTCCCTGTACTGAAGAGATTTTATCTCCTTATTTTCCCTCATGCTTCATTTAGGAGCTTTTGTCTCGTCACTATCTTTCTGCATCTCCCTAAAAGATTGTCTTCCAGAAACTAAGCCAAGCATTAAGACCTCAGAAAATTTAATTAGAAACAAAAAAAATGTGACACAGAAATCATGAAAGAGATCTTGACCTTTTTCTTTTGACACCAAAGTGTTCCTCCAATGATAGTTCTTGTTCATCTTCAGTGTCTATATGACTCTCGATTTCACTGTCTAGTTTGTCTTGCCTTGACATGACAGTTTCGCCTTCATTACTTTCAGGCTTGCTATACATTTCTTCATTGCTATTGTGTTGCAATCTAACTTGCTCTTCCCACGTTCATTAGAAATTCTGTATCATACTGTTTTTGTTTCTAAGAAAATTTTCCTATCTCTTAATACTTTGCTTAGTTTCTAACAGTCATTTTTTATTATTCCCATCCACCTTAGGATTTCTGTGTCATACTGTTTGTTTTTGTTTCTAATGAAATTTTCCCATCTCTTGATACTTTGCTTAGTTTCAAATAGACATTTTTCACTATTCTCATGCTTCTTTCATGATTTCTGTGTCACATTTTTTTTGTTTCTAATTAAATTTTCTGAGGTCTTAATACTTGGCTTAGTTTCTGGAAGACATTTTTCATTATTCCTTATGCACATTGGGATTTTTGTGCTAATTTTTTTTCTTTGTAACCCACTTTTTCTATATCTTAACAGTTTACTTATCTTTTATACTGAAATTGTAAATTAAACATCTTGCTAAAACTTGTAAAGTTTCTATGTTTTGAATAGCTAACCTACATAAATTCTGCTTTAGGATCTTTTGTGTAAATCATAGTTGAAACTATTATAGTAGCTAATGGTTAGTTTACTTATGACTGTGATATTTATTTCTACATATAAAAATATAACTAATATGAAATAAGACTAGTCCTAATTTAGTTATAATAACACTGATTGCTTCATCTAAACAATTTGAAGACTTATAAAAAATATTCTCTTGAATATTTTAATAAGGTCTGCAAGGACTGTATTACTTTTCAGTATAAATCTGAACATTCTACAAATGATTTTATTTCCTCTTTTTTTTCAGGTCGAAGGAAAGTACAAATACTGCAGTTATAACAACATTGATGGACAAAAGGTTTATTTCTAGTAAGTAATTTTATAGACAATGAAAACCCCAAAATTTAATTCAGATGATATTATTTACTTGTTGTTTACTACCATCTTATAATAAAAACATTAATTCCTGACCACAGACAATCCCTTTCTTCATGATTTTCAATGCATTTTTATAGTAAAAATCATTAGCAATGCATTTCCATTATACATATAATAGCCCTATCAGTAATGCTTGCATTCATTCCTGACCACTGACAATCCCTTTCTTCCTGATTTTCAATGCATTTTTATAGTAAAAATCATTAGCAATGCATTTCCATTATACATATAATAGCCCTATTCTATCAGTAATGCTTGCATTCATTCCTGACCACTGACAATCCCTTTCTTCATGATTTTCAATGCATTTTTATAGTAAAAATCATTAGCAATGCATTTCCATTATACATATAATAGCCCTATTCTATCAGTAATGCTTGCATTCATTCCTGACCACTGACTATCCATTTCTTCCTGATTTTCAATGCATTTTTATAGTAAAAATCATTAGCAATGCATTTCCATTATACATATAATAGCCCTATTCTATCAGTAATGCTTGCATTCATTCCTGACCACTGACAATCCCTTTCTTCCTGATTTTCAATGCATTTTATAGTAAAATCATTGGCAATGCATTTCCGTTTGGACAAACATTCATTGGGATAAATCACTTGTTTGGGCACAATGAAAAAAGCAGAAGCATCTTGTCAGTTATTTTCAATGAAACATATATAAGAGAGGGATTGCTGCCCATATACATAGCTAATATGTATATATATATATTAATATAATAATAATAAAGAACAGTAAGATTTATAATCCAATGTTCTTTGCAATTAATTTTATTTTTAAATAAACTGCTCGATACAAACAGTAAACCAAAATATTATAATTATTTTCTTTTTTAAAAATATGGGCCATTGTGACACAAGTAACATATATTGGATATATAAGCTATCTAGGGAAATTAAAACCCAACCACCCCTAATCAAAATAGATTGAATTTTCTTTAACCTTAATTTATAAGATTATTATTGTCTGTCTATAAATTAAGTAAAATTCTTAGAAGTTATTCCTAACATCGCTTGACAATGGAACAAAACTATGGATTTTAAGTTTACTTTTCGTAATTAAATTTATAAATTTAGTTTTGATTTTGAAACATAGAAATTTCTGTGTTGTGATGGAATCATATTTTTAAAAAAGAAAATAATTATATATATATTTTTTTTTTTTCAGTTATTGATATATATATAAATAGCCGAGAAAAATAACAGCACTCGTGGCCTGACGATTGCATCTAGCATGAAACAGACTGTCGCCTCTGAGTGTTGACTTCTATGTTCACTTCTATATTTACACATTCTCTCTCTGACATTGAGCACTTTATCCCATAAAAATAGCACATCTTAACACTATATTTCTTCATATATATATATATATATATATATATATATATATATATATATATATATATATATATATATATATATATACACTTGACCCTCTCCTGCTAACCTCTACCATTACATGAGCCAGATCAGGCTCAAAATTGGGTTAATGCTGTTATATTTGAACAGGAGATGCCCAGACCTCACTCTCTAGCCTAGTCAAAAATGTCTCGAAGCCCTTATGGGTGACAAACTTTTTTCCACGCCTCAACCTCTCTCCTACTGGTGACTTGTGGCAAAGCCTCTCACTGTTTTTTACCTCTACTTCCACAGATAGTGCTCAGACAAACAACATTCTTTGGTTCTGCTGAGGCAAACCTTTACAACAAGAACATACCATGCTGCTTACATATTAGCAAACAACCCACATTCCCTCTGTATTCCATCGGTGAGAAGTAAGTTCCACTTGAGCAGCTTCTTTGTGCGAATCACTGCCCTGTGGAACAGATTCCTAAGAGGATGTTTCCCTGATCACTACAATCTTGTTGAAGGCTTGGGTTTAAGTATTATCTTCCACTCTCATACACAAAAATGACCTCCAAATGTAAACCTTTACCTTGAAATGCCAAACATTTTGTTTTGTCTTTCATCCGAAACTGAAGAAACAAAATATACTCAGCTAAACACATCTTTCCTAGCTTTTCCATTCTCTCTCTCTCTCTCTCTCTTACTCTGTATATCTACCTATCTATGTGTTCAGATATAAGAGAAGACACTGAAGTCATCCCTGAGTAGTGACAGTCTGTTTCATGCTTGAATACGCTCATCAGGCCAGAAGAGTGCATTCAAGCATGAAAATTGCATTCAGGCGTGAAGATGATATTCAAGCACAAATACTGTTGCTAAAACAGACTATCACTGTGTTGACGTCAGTGCCTGCTCATATATATATATATATATATATATATATATATATATATATATATATATATATATATGCTCATTGCCGTACAATTCCGGAAAATCCTTATTGAAAACACAACTATACTTAAACATGAAAACAATAAACAAAAACTAAAAATTCTTGAAGCCATATGCATAAAACAGTTCAAACCTAACCTAGACAAAATAAAGTATGAAATCTCCACAAATATTTTTAAATGCCTATAATTGATAACAGAAGCGATTGGTTTATACCAACGGTTTCCCATACTTAATACTTCTCGTTTTCACTCTCGCGTGGTCATTTGTGACGTCACGAGCTGTGACGCGATTTCCGCTTCCGCGTCTCGTATACACAAGTTTGTCGTCACTTTGAAATTTCTCATGCAACTAAACAGACTATCATTATTGTTCTGTGTATTGGTTGATATATTGAAAAGTAATTGTCATCATTGGTAATGGCTTATGTAAGCCGAAAGAGTTGATTGGATTTAAACATGTATCAATATGGTGATTTCCTTTCGTCATTCAATGATAATCTGATTAAGTTTATCAGACAATATGAAAGGAACTTACTTACAATAAATAGACAAAACTTGTCTATATTATTTAATGAAACATGCATCAATATATATAATATATATATATATATCCAAGAGGATAGACTCCAGGTAGAGCTCAATGTCCAGGACAGAGCAAGAATATAATATAAACAGCTCAAACACTAATATTCCATGGTTATAATTGATTACATTGGAATTGTAATCATGAACCAAGTGTTTGAGCCTTTTATGTTATATATTACATATATATTATATATATTCCTTTCTGCTGTGCGAGGATGGCCTAGGGATAAGATATTTGACTGATGTCAAATCAGTCGAGTTTTGATCCCAGTTTGAAGTAATCAGACGTTTAGCCACACTGAGGAGCTGTGATACAGCAAAACAGTCCATCTGTGGATGACATATATATATATATATATATTAGATGTGTTTGGGTTGAGCCAATTTAATTTAGTTTCTATTTTGTTTTTATCCCTTTTATTATTAAGCCTTTCACATTGTAATGATATAAGATGGCAGATATTCTATTATCACAATCATTTATCAATTTGTGTGTATGTTAAAAAGGAAAACAAAAGCCAATTGATGCTTACATTGTTCTATCTATCTACCTATCTCAATTTGTTTCTTTGTTTCTATTTATCTCTTTCTTTTATCTATCTATGTATCTATCAATCTGTCTATCTCTATCGCCATCTGTTTGTATCCATCTATCTTCTCCTGGTTGTATGTATGTATGTATGTTTGTATCTATCTATCTATCTATCTCTATTTCCATCTGTCTGTATCTATCTATCTATCTATCTATCTATATCCATTTATTTCCATCTGTCTGCATCTATCTATCTCTTTCCATCTGTCTATATGTCTGTCTGTCTGTATCTATCTATCTATCCTAGCCTGTTCTTATCTATCTATCTGTCTGTATCTATCTATCTCTATTTCCATCTGTCTGTATCTATCTATCTCTATTTCCATCTGTCTGTATCTATCTATCTATCTATCTATCTATATCCATTTATTTCCATCTGTCTGTATCTATCTATCTCTATTTCCATCTGTCTGTATCTATCTATCTCTATTTCCATCTGTCTGTATCTATCTATCTATCTATATCCATTTATTTCCATCTGTCTGTCTGTATCTATCTATCTATCTTAGCCTGTTCTTATCTATCTATCTATCTGTATCTATCTATCTCTATTTCCATCTGTCTGTATCTATCTATCTATATCCATTTATTTCCATCTGTCTGTCTGTATCTATCTATCAATCTTAGCCTGTTCTTATCTATCTAAATTGAGATAGGTAACTCTAGACAGACTTATAGAGGCAGATGTTACCAAGAGGATATAGATAGATAGATAAGAACAGGCTAAGATAATATCCTCTTGGTCACATCTGTCTCTTTAAGTCTGTCTAGAGTTACCTATCTCAATTTGTTTCTTCATTTTTTCTATCTATCTATCTATCTATCTATCTAAACTTAAACTTTTAAATTTAATTTCTGTCTGAATTTCTGGGATGGGGTGTTATTGTTATTTACATTATTTATATTCAGACTATTGTCCTCATCTTTGTTGTTGTTATCACAACATTTCAGTCATTCTTCATTCTCAGCTTCCTCAGATGTATATTAATCAGCAGCTAATTCTGAACTGAACCCTTTATTTAATCTATGGAGGTATACTGTTCTCATTCCACTGCCTGTGTCTCAGGATATCATTTAGTTCTCATTTTTAAATTTTATTTTTGGTATAAACTTAGCCAATATCGTTTAGTTTCTTTTTGTTTGTTTTTATCACTTTTATTAATAAATATCCCACATTTTGATAATAGATCTCTCAAGAAAGGTGAAATGTCGTAAGAACCCAGATGCAAATTTATTGTGGATAATCTATCAATTAAAGCATTTTCTATATCCTTTTATTTTAGTAAATTGCTTTACTCTTAATTAAAGTAGCAGTTTTTAAATTAAAATTATTGTCAAACTCATTATGATATGAAACTAATGTGTTGGGTCTGTTATTTTGTAAAAGATCCCTTTTGTGTTCATGTAATATTTTATTTGAATTCCTTGAGGTCTCTCCTATGTATTCTTTGTGGCAATTATTACAGGTGATAGAGTAAATTCCCCCTTCGAGTTTTAGCTTTTTATTTTGTATTAATTCTTTTATTTCTATTGAATATTGTTCTGATATATAAGTATTAATATATTACATTTTCCCACAAAACAGATATTACAGATTTTACAAGTATACTGTTAAAGAGCATAGTAAACTGTGTTTTCAAAAAAACATACTGTTGGGGGAGGCCAATTTTTCAGAAAAAACACAAAAAAATCTGGTTGTCTGCAGCTAAGAAATTGTTATATTCCGTGCTAATAGGAATATATACTTGACAAACATGGTGGATAAAATAAGTAAACGTTTATTGTAAAAACCACTACAATAAGAAATAAGATAATAGTTATGTGCATGATCGTCGCAAGTCAATCCAGTTGTGACTGCTACTACCGGAAGGTTGGTAGTTCTCGCATAAGTCTGAGTTGTACTCAACAGATCCCAGTTAGACTGTATCTAGCAACTACCCCATGCAGTCACATGTGGCGCAAGGCTGAATTTAATGTGGGGTTTCTGAGCACATAGGTTCAGTCAAAAAATCATAAACGGGATCAGGTCTGTCTACCTCCTCGGACGAGACTCGGCTATTCGGCATAGCCTCGTACCAATACAGCTGGAAAAGATCCCAGATAGAGTCCTGTAGTCCGTTGCTTTACAGATACTTATAGTTAGTTACTACTTATAGTGTAGACACTCATGGGGGTGACAGGTTATTCCATTATAAAGATAAGCACGTGACTCTCTCAACCACAAAGCAAATCCTCAATCAATATGTGTAGATAGCATGATATAGATTTTTTTTTATTAGCTGCCAGGCGAAATTGTATTTTCCATTTGTACACTTGGAAACCTCCTGCTTAGCGACCAGATTCTCCTTCTATTCCATTCTTGACCTAATTCCCACATATCTACACCAAAATTGATTTCATTAACTCACAGACAAGCAGCAAAATCAGAATTTCGGTTCATGTGGCTGTAAATCTCATAAAGAAAAGAAAATGGCGTTTTCATTTTTATTTTCTTCTTTCGCATTTTCTTATTTTCTTGGAATTCCTGTGCTATTTGCATGAACAAAAGGCAATGTTCGTGTGTGCGTACTGTGCTGTATCCCTTCAGCACATAGGTGATCATGGTTCACCACAGCTTTCTATCTGGTATGGATCTCAGCAGTTTTTCTCCTACCAACAAACTTATCAGTTACTCATTAACTTCCTCGATATCTCTTATCCTCAGTATACTCCATGAGCGTGTTCACCCATCCCTCTCTCTGTTGCAATGAGAGGGTGCAGCCTCGGGCAGCTGTTCTCCAGGGCTGGCACCTCTCAGTATAATTTTTCTCAGTTGTGACTCTGTCCTTTGACGGAGATACCCCTGAGAGCACTCAGCCCCAAAACAGAGATGCAAATGAGAGGTGATAAATATGGTGTTACAAACTACTCAAGAGAGTGATTTATACACTTAGAAGGAAATTGTATAGAATGCGGTTGTCTTGCTACACCACTGAGGTCCCATCAATGACCATGGCTTGTGCAGCAGTCTTTCGCCTAGCAAAACATTCCCCACGTCCAACAACCATCATATTCCCAGATCTCACCTCTTGCAACTTTTCTGCTTTCCAAAAATCAGTTCCAACTTGAAAGACGTTGCAAAAATTCAAGAGAATATAATGAGGCAGCTGCTTGCAGTATCCAAAAAAGAAATTCCAGGTATGGTTCCGTCAATGTAAACAACATCAGGCAAAGTGTATGGTTTCAGAAGGAGACTACTTTGAAGTTTATAGAATTCTCAGTATCCTTCTGTAGAACCTCAATTCTGATGCCACTAGTTTTTTCTTCATCACTGGGGAGATTGTCCAACTTTCACCGTCGTATGATATAACAAATTTTTTGTATTTCTCAGCTCCTTGCTTAGCTTTTCGAATGCTTCTTTCGCTAGTCCAGTGTGTACTTCGGATTTCGGGGTCACATTTTCCTTCCTATTAAAATGCTTCCCAGATATCTGAGCATCTACCCTGCTTGATCTCCAATTCATTATTTTCATCTTGTGGATTTTTCTCTTACTGATGACCATACTTTCCATCTTCTTGCAGTTGATGGTTGATAAATATAGGGTACCCCAATGAAATACTACAGGGTACCCCACGAAATACTACACAAACATGTACATGTAATTTACACTGTTAAAAAAAGAAAAACAGGATATCTACTCAAACATGTGCATCCCCACCAACATCCTATCCTTTGTAGCTTTTAGCTCATTAGGTAGGTTAACCATTTCACCTTGCAGGGTTTACTTTCAGATAAGCAATATGGCTTTCACTTCTCTCATTCTACTGCTGATGTATTAATGATTATTGCTGAACATCTTTGTTGTCATTTCTCAAGAATAAAGAAAATGCATAAATCTATTTTCATACATTTGAATTTTACTAATATTCTAATCATCACTTTTTAAAAAATAGACATTGCTGAGGGAATCAAAAGTATACTACTTAAAAGTTACTTGTTAGGTATATGGTTGGTGAGGTGCGTATTCACATGAAAAAAATTAAAGAAACATACTTGGCTTTATACTATAGACTGTTTCTTATTTTATATAGTAAAAATTATAGAGAAACAAAGTTTTCAGTGTATGTTTTCTTTTTATGGTCCAGAAGTTACTATAAGTGAGGATAACCATTACTATAATGGTCGTGCTCAAGTCAGCCTTGTGCTGATTTGGGATGACCAACAACACGTGCTTACTTCATTGGTAGCTATAATGGTCTAACTTAAGTCAGCTTTGCACCGAGCTGGAACGACCAAAGTAAAACTTGTTGAACTTCATTGGTGGAGTTTCAGCCAAACATATACTTAGCACTATAAAATGGAAAGGAACTTCAGTTGACTGGGTTGGGGGGGAGAAACATTTTTTAGTGGGGAGTGCTACATCTTGGAGCAAAAAGGAGAAAGAGAGATGAAGGAAATGTTTGACTTAAACAGCACCACCTCATGGGCGTTTGGTGAAGCCAAGTGCGGTAATGAAATTTTTGGTTCATTTATTACTAGCAACATGTGAAAATGTATTTCTTTTTCTTTCTTTTTTATTCATTATTAGTATTTTATTTATTGATTTTTATTTTATTTTCCCATAAGTATTTACTCATTGCCACTTTTGTAATGTCAACGAATACTCGTCACTTTTGTAATGCTCATTGTAGTAGAGACTTTGTAATCGCAGATACAACTATAGTATACCATTGAACAATACTGGTGTCAGATGCTTTTGAATAACCCTCACACTAAAACTACTTGCTCGATATACTCACTTGGAAAGTAACCATCAAATTGTGATCCGAATAGTAATCCATAAAGTGAGATATTCACTAACAGTCCCACATGGTCAGATGCGGCACAAGGCTAAGTTTATAGTAGGGTATCTGAGCCCGTAGGCTTGGCCAAAAATTCCCCATAGACCCTCTAAAAAATGGGGTCTTGTAGCTGTCTATCGCCCCAGATGAGATTCTACTCTTTGGCACAGCCTTATCTGGGTTCCTCTCTGCCTGGAGGCAGAGAGTTTGACAAGCACACTTCCAAAGCAATCCATATAGTGATCACTTAGACATCATACTAATTCCCATATATACATTTCCTTTACCATCACTTGAAGGGAATAATTGTCCTTTTGGGATATTTTTTTTTTGTAGACACAAAGGTTAAACATTGCCAAAAATGTGCTCTCTCTGTCAGAAGACACATCTTTAAGTTTCTCAAATGCACAGACATGTATGTCTAATTTACAGTTGAAAAAAAGCAAAACAGGACGTCTACTCAAACATGTGCATCCCTACCAGTTTTTTTTGTTCCAATTATCTTTTATCTAATTAAAAGAGAGCCTCTCTATTTTAAATATGTTAAATACAATCTTTCAACTTAAATTTTGGTTCTATTTGAAAGATAATGGTCTAAAATTAATCTGTATAAAAAAAGTTAATTTCTGTGTATCAATAAACTTTTGAGTCATTTTTTAAAATATCAGCACACACCCGCTTCTCCATTGTTTTTTATTCTTTTTTTTGTTTTTCTAAGCATTTTACCCCAAGCAAGGTGGGAAGCCACTAGCACGGAAGGGGTTACAGAGAGTTGGAGTTTTCATTTATGAAGATGAGGATAACAGTCTGAATAATGTAAATAATGTAAGCAAAGAGGAGTGATAGAGGAAAGGATGAAGAGAAGGATAGGGGATAGATCAAGGCATCTGGAGATGTCGATTGACATTACATTTGAATAGTTGGAGATTATAGCTATCAGGGAATCAGGAATAGGGGAGGGAGTTCCACAGGCGAGAGGTGTGAGTCATGAAGCTATTGGAGTAGAAGAGACGGCTACATTTAATAGTTTCGACAGTGAAAGGGTGAGAGTGAGATATTGTATATGAAAAATGTAAAAACTAGTTTAAAATTCTCTTTAAAATCCAATATTTGTGGTGGATATGTATTTAAAAGTCCATTAATAAATTTAAGGATTAAATGGATTTTCTAATAGAAATGGAATGAAAATAATGTTTTATGTATGCACGCTAGTCTGTGAGGCCAAAGTACAAAATAGAAAGTCTGTAATTCTAGCCCTGTACAAAAAAGTATGGGAAAAGTAAAAAAAACAAACCTTAAGAAGTACAGAAGGCCAGTAATTTGATAATCAAGAATTAGTTATTTATGTTTAAAACTAAATTTTCTTTAACCTTATATAACCAATAATTTAAGATTTAAGAGTATAATTTTTTTTATTCTATACACTTTTATTAGACTATTTTTAAAAATTTTTTTATACTAACTGAATGCAAGATATGAAATTAGATTCATGTCATAATACAGTACTTGCGTTATTCACACTGTTATCTGCATCTTCATTGCTATATTTACAATGTTTTGGCTGTTGTACACTGCCTTCTTCAGGTGATTGAAATTTCGAACCAAACCCTGGGGTAGATTGTTCTAGTTCCACATGCCATGCCTCTTCTGCATGTTTCAGTTATTTTCCTTTAACTCAACTCTCCAAGTTTGGCTCACTGTTGCTGTGGCCTGGTATTGAACTCACAACTCTTTGGGTCTAGTCACGGAATCTAGCCAATGCCTTTATCCATTGGGCCATGTGCTCTGAAGAAGGCTGGAGTGTACAATGGCAGAAATGTTGTGAATATGGCAATGAAGATGAGGATAACAGTCCGAATAATGTAAATAATGTAAGTAATCATAATACCTCATCTCAGAGATATAGACAGCCATTATATCACTAGAAGCTAGTCACTGGATCTAACCAACGTCATTATCTACTTGGCCATGTGTCCTTGTGAATATGGCAATGAAGATGAGGATAACAGTCCGAATAATGTAAATAATGTAAGTAATCATAATACCTCATCTCAGAGATATAGACAGATATTGAACAGTAATTGGTCAGTGTGAGATATAAGAATTATTTTCTTTTAGTACATCCATGCCAAAAATAATCTAACAGTTGTTAAAAGGAAAAAATAAAATAAAATTCTTTTAGAAAAGGTTCGCACTTGAAAATGACATTAAACTTTATTTTTTTAAAATCTTTAAACATGTCTTTATTTAATAAAATAAACTCGTGTGATGACCATTTACGGGATTAATTTTAAAATTGAGTTGAAAAATTACAAATAACTTTCTTTAAATGAATTTTAAATTTAGACATTTTTTCTGTTGAATTTGAAATAAAATAACATGTTTTATTATATTATGTGAGAATCAATTCTCCCAAAAAATTAGTTTTTTGAATTTTATTGAATTGTTTTTGGCAGTATGTTGGTCAAATTTTCTGCATGTACATACTCAATATTGCATAAATATTTTTCTGAAATAATATCTTAAGAGATTTCTTTTTATATAACTTAGACGAACACCCTACCAAATGAAATGTATATACATTTTTTAATAAAATAACCTATTTAGTAAAATATTTATTCCCTTATTAATGCCCTAAAAATTTTGTTTGAATCAGATAATTGCCTGATTTTTGACAAATATTTTAAAATAAGGGGTGTCAATTATTGCTTTCTCTGTGGAAAAAATGTATCTATTTTGGTGGTACCTATAAATTCCCAAGTGGGTACCTATCTAAGTACAGACCAGACTCAAAAGCAGTCTTAGTTGGCAATAATATAAGTGACAGATGGCTATAAAAAGGCACTGTTGATTATTTACGGCTAATTTGTTTAAATAATGTATTGTTTGTGTCATGTGTCAATAATTTTAAGTAAAATGATGCACTAAAATAAGGACCCAAGTAATCGTTTTAAGTTCTCTGAATATCGGTGCCATTTTTAAATGGATATTGTTTTTCATTATTTCTTATTACTATAAATGTTATGTTTAGTGGTTACAGTAACACTCACTGGAAACACGTGTGCCCATGGACATGACTTTTTGAAGGATATTAAGCAGCTGTATGATTTGAAAAAATGTCTTATTACTTGGAGATGTAGGCGATCATGGTTCACCATAACTATCCTATTTTATTAATCAAACTTATAAATTAAATAGTATAGTAGACTAGATTCGGTAGCCTTGACTAGAAACCAGTCTACAAGAAGGAAAACTCTGAATTCCTGACCAAGGAAAGGTTAATGGTAGCATTTTTCCCAAGAAATTATGGAAATTGCCAGATAATAAGAAAAAAGAAATCTATGTTTGAACCATTATTGCTTATGTCTTGAAGAGATGTGGCATTGAAAAACAAAACTCATATTGAATCCCTGGTAGTACCTGCAGGTTAGGGTAGTCTTGTGCTTACTCTAAAGCTTATTAAACACTAAACTACTGCATTGATTGAATCTGACATCTCGTCTACAGTCACTTTCTTATAGATGTGCTGTGGCTTCTCTCTGTCTTTTCTACAGATATTTTTATTGCAGCTGCTCTGACACGCTACTTTCACTGGTTCCCAAGCTACATGAATTTAAGTGTGCTACTAGGTTGGCATGTTGGTCCCAGCCTTTCACTGTCAAAACAGTTAAATGTAACCGCCTCTTCTACTTCAACAGCTTCTTCTCTCGCACTTCCCAACAGTGGAACTCCCTTCCTCTTACTTGCTTCCCTGATAGCTATAATCTTCAAATATACAAATGTAATGTCAATCGACATCTTCTGATGCCTTGATCCTGATCCACGTCCTTCTCTTTATCCTTTCCTCAAACACAGCCCTCTTTACTCTTGCTCTCATTCTCTGTAACCCCTTGCGTGCTAGTGGCACTCCCACTTTGCTTGGGGTGATATGCTTAAAAAAATTAAAAAAGCAAATATTTTATCATTTTTTTTTTTCTTGATTTCAGTTGCAGTGGCTACCAGACATGCTGTGGCGACAAATGCTGTGATGACCTGGACCGATTCTACAGACTCTGGTACTTCTGGTGCGTCTTTTCACTACAGTGGCCTCGTTTTAGCCTCATCAGTCAGAAAAGCCGCCAATATCTTCCCAATATTTAGGAGGTTGGTTCTTTTGGTTTAGCAGCATATCAACACTTTTATGGGTTATTTAATGCCGAAATCTAAATATTTTGTACCCAATTTAACTTTAAAAAGATTTTTTTGGAGATAATAATGGTTTTAGTCACACAATGCTTACTAATTAACCCCTAGCAGGGGGGCAAATAGCCGGATTCATACCTTTCCCGGGGATATTTGTACATAAGTGAATATAATGAACCCAACTGGAATTGGAACTTGGCTCTCTGATTAATAATTCCGAGCCATTATCTATTCACCACCCCCACATCCAAGCTTACAGCACCTGGTAATCCCAAGCAGTCGCCCATCTAGATACTGATCAGGTTTGATGTTGCTTAACTTCAGTGATCATATGGGAACTGGTGTTTTAATGTGATGTAGCTGTAAGCTGGGAGTAAGAGGAATTATGTGAAGAATGCAGAGAAATAGAAACCAGGACGGGGAATGCTGTGGAAGAGGTGAGCAGGGGTTGGGATGAGAAATGATAATATGGGAGTAAGAGAGATGATTTAAGATAGAGGTGGCGGGGTGCACAGAAATGGAAATGTGGGGAGGGGAGAGAAATGACCAGGGATTATAGAAAAGCATAACTCAAACAGCACTGTCTGTTCGATCAATGAATGCTGAATGCTTCCTTATAAGGAAACAGCTAATATTACAATTATCATTAGAGATGAGAACAGATACTACACTTTGATCCCAATCTGATGATCAAGAAGTGAAGAAAAGTCTCACTTGAATAGCAATGGGTTCGCAAACAATGAATACCGGTCATCAGATTGGGATCAAAGTGTAGTATCTGTTCTCATCTCTAATGATAATTAGCTGCTTGTTATATGAAAGCATCTAGCATTCATTGATCAACAGACAGTGCTGTTTGAGTTATGTTTTCAGTCTGGTTCAATTATATCCTCTTGAAAAAGGTATGGGTATTTTTGGTGTGGCCACATTGTTACCAAAAGATCAGTTTAAAATAGTGATTTTCTACGTCCGGCTTAGATGTGGCACAAGGCCGAAAGTATGGGGCACCCAGTGAGGATTGAACTCACTACTCAGTCATAATTGATCTAGTAAGACAAGCTTTCTAACCATTACACCACGCTGAGGTGCCCAGTGATTTTCCAAGCATAGCTCAGATGTGGCACAAGGCCGAAATTATGGGGCACCCAGTGAGAATCGAACTCACTACTCAGTCATAATTGTTCTAGCGAGACAAGCCTGCTAACCATTACACCACCGCGAGGTGCCCAGATCAGTTTAAAATAGGTTTAACAGCAATGAAAACATTGGAAAGATATGAATCCACCTTTTCTCCCTTCCTGATCTGGATTATTTAATTGGACTGTAATTAGTAAATCATTATTATCACCCCACAAAATCTGGTAATTTAAAAATATTTTCTTGCTTTAAATAACTTGCAAAAGGTTGATAAGTCATAAAAAATCCCTATAAAGAAGGGCCTAATATTATCATTACCATTAGAGATGACGAAAACAGATACTACACTTTGATCCCAGCCTGATGGTGAGGGAGTGAAGCAAAGTGTAATTCAAGTCACACTGTCTGTTCAGTCACTGAATATGAAATGTTTCCCTATAAGGACATGGCAGAAACATCAGTTAGCCATATGAAAATTAATACTGGACTAAAAACCATTGAAAACACTCACTTGTTCAAACAGAACAACAAATACAAAACACTGACTCAAAATATAAAAAAACATTCTGCTTGATCAATGAATACCAATTGTTTCTTTATAAGGAAATGGCTAATATTACCATTACTATTAGAGATGAAGAGGACAGATACTACACTTTGATCCCTGGGAGTGAAGAGAAACCTGAATCAAGTAGCACTGCTATTTATTTGTATAATATATACAAAATGTGGCACATGGCCAAAATAGGGAATGAGGGGGAAAAGGACAGTCTTCTTCTGTCTTAACGTTAAACTTAGCTAGCCATGATCACTGACCCAAACAAACCACAATATTCCTGACATCAAAATAAAGCATTCTACTTACCATTTATATAACATTCACCATAATACCACATGGTCTCTATGAAAATCCTAACTAGTCTCCAGATGTACAATTCTTGTTTATAGGGGGAGGGGAAAATGACAACAATTTAAAACTGAACACCAATGTGCATTTACAATATGAATAAAAACTATTTATAAGAAACTAAATAAAATAGTATTAGAAATAAACCCTCCACAAATAGCACTGCCTACTCGGTCAATGAAAGTCAAATATTTTCTTATAATCAAATGGTTAATATTACCCTTAACCTTGTGAAAGTCAACACGACAGAATTAGAATTTGACCTGAAGATTCTACTTAAGTTTTAGAATAGCAAAATATGGCTGGATGCAGTTACTTTCTAATTATTTTCACCGACCATCACTTTGTCTTTTGGAAATACTAAATGGTTGTGTAATGGGTGGAAAAATAGTCCTGGGGATGATGATAAAATATGTCCTGTAGCAAGATCAGAAGATTGGAGATTTTTAGAAGTGTGGAACTACTATTTAATTATTATTGTTCTCAGGTTGACCCTGACTTGGGGGTGGTAGCACCTGTTAGGATCTCAGCTATGGCCAAAAACGTAGCCCACTCATCATGAAACAAAACAATATGAATACATTTTTATAGTAAAAATACTAACAATACATACAGGGTACCCGACAAAAAAACACAAAATTTGGTACAGTTGTTTAATTGTTGAAATTTTTGAAAATATGGTAACTGCAGCATCCTGGAACAAGAAATGCTTAAAAAATGTATATGCATATATTTTAGTTTATTCATATAGTAAAATATATATTGGGTTGGTGCATAATTATCAGGCGTTCTTAAACAATATTTATTATGAAAAAAGAAACATAACAATTCAACAATAATATTTTTAAATGATTATTCTGGAGCATATGATTATTGACCAACATTTTTATAACCCCTGAAAATAAAAAAATATTTTTATTAAAAAAAAGAAGTAAACAAAACAACAATTTTTATTAACAAATTAACACTTAAAAAACGCCTGATAATTATGCACCAACCCAATAGTTAACTTTTTATATATTAGTTAATTTTTTTTCATTACATATTAAATCTAAAACTTGTTTTTTTTTTTTTTGTGGGTCACACTGTATTCACTGGAAAATTTCACTGCCAAAATACATTCCCATTTCAAACTTAGACAAATAACTTAACAAATAACTCGTCTACAAAACGCCTGATAATTATGCACCAACCCAATAGTTAATATTTTATATAATATTTAATTTTTTTTCATTATATAATAAATCTAAAATTTCTTTTTTGTGGGCCACACTGTATTTATAGTAAAATTACTAACAATATGCACATATTAACAAATTGTAGTGACTTCACCGAAATCCATTTAAAATACTACCAAACAACCAACATGGACTATTTCATGGCATTAATCCATATGTCTGACAATTTCATGAATCAAACCATATTCCAATTATAACTTCAACAAAATTATAACATAAAACACACATATCATCGCCTTTAGTAATTATGTCTACACAAACATGCATTATGCAAAAAAGCTGAGTATCATCTAACATGTATTCAACTGTGAAAGCAGAATAACATATATCATATTTTTATTACTTCCAAGTTCTCAAGAAAATTAAATTTTGGCATTAAACCTTTGAGCCCTGACTACTGCCTTACCGGTGGTAGAAAAAAAATGATGTAATTCCCAGCCAACTGTTGAAGAGTGGTAGAGAAAAATGACTTAATGCCCAGCCACCAGTTGAATGGTGGGTAAACAATTTTTATATCTACCGTCAAACATTACACCAGTTATTTGCAAATTTTGACTTGGAAGCTCAGGCAGAAGGTTTAAAATATTTCTGGAACACAGAGCTCAAAGGGTTAAATGACCCATAAGGAGTTGATGTGCCACTAAACAGAATCAACCAAAAAACATAAATAAAAGATCTTTCATGACATTAATTCATATACCTAAAAAACATACCTTTACCCTGAAAGTCTAAAATTATGTACAAAACATCTGTAGTTGAAGCCATAAATTTGAGTTCTAAATATTTAGATTTTGGTATTGAATAGCCCATAGAGGTGTTGATATGCCACTAAACAAACCAACCTACCAAACAACCAACATGAAAGAAATCTTTCATGACATTATACCATATAATATCGTACATTTTCTTAAAGAAAACAAACTGTATTCTAAAAATATAACTTCAACAAAACTACAACATAAAACACACATATCACCGCCTCTCGTAATTATGTCCACACAAACATATATATGCACAAAAGCTGAGTATCATTTACCATGTATTCAACTGTGAAAGTAGAATAACATATATCATATTTTTATTACTTCAAAGCTCTCAAGGAAATTAAATTTTGGCATTAAATGACCCATGAAGGTGTTGCTATGCTGTTAAACAGACAAATCAATCAAAATCAAGGGTTCGAAAAAAAACAAAAACAAAAAGCGAATTAGTTCAAGGGGCTTAGTGTCAGCTCGTCAGCTTAAATTTGTATAAGATCTTTTTTAGAAAACTATTGACAACACCATTCATATATTTTAAACTAGCTTAAAAGCTGCCCTAAAAAAATCACCAAAAACAATCACAGTAATGAAAACTTGGGATTCCAAAATTTCAGGATTGCTGGTTTGGATCTTGCTGGTATGTTTTTAATTTGCTCATGGAGTCGACCTGATTCCTAAATGGTATGATATGTTGGGATAGAGACTAGAAGAGTAAAATTGAAAATACAATTTTTTTTTTAAACCCTGTAATTTGAGAACATGAGCTATTGAAAGTTAGTGAGTTGTGTCCCTTTAATTTCTATCAGCAGAAGCCAAGATAGCAGAATCCAAAAACAATCACAGTAATGAAAACTTGGAAATCCAAAAGTTCAGGATTGCGGATAAGAATCCGGCCTGGAATGTTTTTAATTTGCTCATGGAGTCAGCCTGATATCAAAATAATATATGTTGGGCTACGGCCTCTTGGAGTAAAGGTTAAAACATGTGACACAGTGACACACTGGCATTCACATTTATTATATAGATGGTCTCCTCTAATCCTAAATTTTTGTCTCTTTTTTTACTTTTAAATTGACTGATGAGATTAAACAGGCTGAAGGATTTCACCACACTTTGGTGACAGCACAAACGATTTGGGTTGGCCAAAACAACTGTTTCAGCTTCAATAAAAATAAGCCAAATTTTTTAAATGCACCATGTCCCTATCCTGACTTTCATAGTTCTTAGCAAAGTTTGTCTTTTTGCTGTCTTAACCACTGACCTGCCAACAATTTACACAAGTTTCTTAGGTAAGTTATACCCTGCTTT